ATTATATTATTATATTAGAATTAGATTATATTACATTATTATATTATAATATTATTTTTATATTATATTATATTATTATTATTATATTATATTATATTATATTATATTATATTATATTATATTATATTATATTATATTATATTATATTATATTATATTATATTATATTATATTATAATCAAATTGGCGACATTGTGTCTCAGTGTTTAGCACTGTGGCCTCACAGTAAGAAGGTCGCTGGTTCGAGCCCAGCTGGGTCAGTTGACATTGCTCTGTGGAGTTTGCATGTTCTCCTCGTGTTGGCGTAGGTTTCCCCCACAGTCCAAACACATGTGCTATAGGGAGGTGATGAATTACATTGGCTGTAGTGTATAAGTGTGTGTGTTTGTATGAGTGTGTATGTGTGTTTCCCAGTACTGGGTTGCAGCTGGAAGGGCATCCGCTGTGTAAAACATATGCTGGAATAGTTGGCAGTTCATTCAGCTGTGCCGACCCCTGATGAATAAAGAGACTAAGCTAAAAAGAGAATGAATGAATGAGTATTATCAGTGTTAGGGAACTATTCTGGCAATTTGTATAATGCATTTATTCATTCTGCATGATTTAAATTGAAGGTAATGTTATGATTTACCTTAAACCTGTAAGATTTTACTTTATTTTGAGCAGTTTTTGGTTAAACGGTGTTTCTTACACAATTAAAAATATACTGAAAGCTGCATGTTCAGTCAGTGCTGACCCTGTGCACCACAGCTCAAGCAGACAGTCAGACGCGCTGGTTAAAGAGATTCAAATGAGGTCCAGAGGAGCTTAAATGAGGAAGAAACATTGAAAATCAAAGTGCATTGACTCTACACTCCTGCAGATGTTCACTTCAGAGGAAATAAATCAAGCTCAGGCTTTGAACAGCGTTAAACATCCGGTTCTCAATATCACTGAGACTCAGAGACACGTCAGAAACGATCTGTGTAAAGCTCAGATATGCGGCTTTCAGAGGTGAAAAACACTTCTCTGATCAATGAGTCGCATTCATCAACACCTGCACTGACACACACTGAAGGAGACGCTTCACTACACCTGCTGACACACACACACTCACACACACACACACACACACACACACACACACACACACACACACACACACACACACACACACACACACACACACACACACACACACACACACACACACACACACAGAGCACTATATACAGCATTAATATGGAATTTTCTGTACAATCTGTTTTGAACGAATCATTTAAGTCAGTTTCTTTTCTAAATGAATCCACAGTTTTAAATGAATATAGCGAATGAATGATTGAAATATGAATAAATCATTTGAGCAACGATTCATTGATCCATTTATAAAGACAGCCACTTGCTTCTTTTCTGAATGGATCAGCAGTTATGAATGAATCAGCTGAATGACTCCTGAGTGAATCTGTTTCCTGAACAAATTATTTCATCAACTGATACAATGAACTAGGGCCTTGCTTCCTTTCTAAATGAATCAGCTGTTTTGAATGAATCACTCCAGAATTAATCTGTTTCTGAATCGATCACTTGAGCATCTCATTCAATGATTCAGTCACATGCGGCTGTTCTAAATGAATCAGCTGTTTTGAATTAATCGATTGAATGAACGACTCCTCAATGAATCTGTTTCTGAAATAATCATTAGAGCAACTGATTCAATGATCCATTTTTAAAGTCAGTCATGTTTTTCTGGTCTAAATGAATCAGCAGTTTTGAATTAATCACTCCTGGATTAATCCGTTTCTGAATTAATGAATAGAGTATTGATTCAATAATTCAGCCACTTGCTGCTTTTCTAAACGAATCAGCTGTTTTGAATGAATCAATTGAAAGAACAACTCCTGACTGAATTGGTTTCTGAATGAATCATTTGAGCATCTGATTCAAACATCCATTCATGCTTCTTTTGTAAATGAATCAGTTGTTTTAAATGAATCAATTGAATGATACTAATAATGTGCGTGTATGTGTGTGTGCGCAGATCAAGCCTTGTCACTTGCCGCCTTGATTTTAATGAATCATTTGAGCTACTGATTTAATGATCAATGTATGCTTCTTTTCTAAATGAATCAGCTGTTTTGAATGAATCACTTGAACATCTGATTCAATAATTCAGTAACTTGCTTCTATTCTAAATGAATCTTTTCAGTTTTGAATGAACAGATTGAATCAATCTGGGGGTTTTAATGTATATGTGTGTGTGTGTGTGTGCAGATCAAGCCGTGCCACACGCTGCCGTGTTTCGTGACGTCTAAGAGCGAGTGTCTGTGGACGGACATGCTCTCTCATTTCGGCTACCCGGGCTACCAGTCACGCCACTACGCCTGCATCCAGCAGAAAGAGGGCTACTGCAGCTGGTACAGAGGGATGAGTGGACGCGACAAGATCACCATCAACACCACTGACCCCTGATCACACACACACACACACACATGCACACACACTGGCAGTAATCCGTCCAGTCCTGCTTCTACAACATCCATGTGTTTTACCTGCCAGATTTATCTATTTATGAGCGTCTGCGTTCAGATCCTGAACACGTTCTGTCCTTGCCGTTTATGATATATAAGCTATGAAATGGTGATTTTTAGTATTTTTTTATTACTTTATTAAAAGAAACTGTAGATGTATTATCATCATCTTTGTATCAACAACTGTGCTGATGACGAAAGAGGAGAGAGATCTTAAAAAATATATTAAAAACACACACACAAACATTTCTACTGTACTTTACAGAATAAAAGTCACGTATGGACACACTTTAATATCATTTGTCATATAAAACAGTCCTTAATTCAAATGTTTTTAAACGTGCATCACATTAGTCATGTTTAAAATTAATAATTTAAATGTAAAACACATTTAAGGTAACTATACAAGCTATTTCAACTTAAAGTTCACTCAAAAAATGAAAATGTACTCGTTATTTACTCACTCAAGTGTTAAAAACTTGAGTTTGTGTCATTCTTTTTTATCAAAAATCAAGATATTCTGAAATGTATTCTGCCTTTTCATATAATATAAATAAATCATTTTTATTGGGGTGCACTGTCCCTTTAAATCAATTAAACTGACTTAAAACATTAAATTATTTACTTTATTTTAACCTGATCAACTAATGTCCAAATAACACAAAACATGACATATTGATCATATTATTTATTTACAGTGTAATAAACTGCGTTTATAGTAAAAATCAAGCCTTAAACTCATTACACTTTAACCAGGATTTTATCTACAAGTGGCTTCAGGTATGGCTTTTATTCTGTAAAGTGTGGTGGATGTACAGATCCTGGCGGTGCTGAATATGACTCAAACACATCATCGATATTGAACAGCTAGAGTAATCTTCTGTACCACTAAACTCGTGTTCATTTCGTCAGGTTTTCTGCTCCATTCCTCTGTCGGAGGCTGAGATGTGAACTAGCGGATGAAGACTAGTCAACAGAAGACTAGTTAACTGAGGACTAGTCAACAGAAGACTAGTTAACTGGAGACTAGTTACCTTGAACTGAGGACTAGTCAACAGAAGACTAGTTATCTTTAACTGAAGACTAGTCAAGAGAAGACTAGTTAACTGAGGACTAGTAACCCTTAACTGAGGACTAGTCAAGACTAGTTAACTGAGGACTAGTAACACTTAACTGAGGACTAGTCAACAGAAGACTAGTTAATTGGAGACTAGTTACCTTGAACTGAGGACTAGATAACAGAACACTAGTTAGCTTAGGACTAGTCAAAAGAAGAATAGTTAACTGAGGACTAGTAACCCTTAACTGAGGACTAGTCAAGAGAAGACTAGTTAACTGAGGACTAGTAACCCTTAACTTAGAAATCGTCAACAGAAGACTAGTTAATTGGAGACTACTTATCTTTAACTGAGGACTAGTCAACAGAAGACTAGTTAACTGAGGACTAGTTTTCTTTAACTGAGGACTAGTCAACAGAAGACTGGTTAACTGATGACTAGATAACAGAACACTAGTTAGCTGAGGACTAGTCTGAGGACTAGTTAATTGGAGACTACTTATCTTTAACTGAGGACTAGTCAACAGAAGACTAGTTAACTGAGGACTAGTTTTCTTTAACTGAGGACTAGTCAACAGAAGACTGGTTAACTGATGACTAGATAACAGAACACTAGTTAGCTGAGGACTAGTCAACAAAAGACTAGTTAACTGAGGACTAGTAACCTTTAACTGAAGACTAGTCAACAGAAAACTAGTTATCTTTAACTGAAGACTAGTCAAGAGAAGACTAGTTAACTGAGGACTAGTAACCCTTAACTGAGGACTAGTCAAGAGAAGACTAGTTAATTGGAGACTACTTATCTTTAACTGAGGACTAGTCAACAAAAGACTAGTTAGCTGAGGACTAGTTTTCTTTAACTGAGGACTAGTCAACAGAAGACTGGTTAGCTGAGGACTAGTAACATTTAACTGAGGACTAGTCAACAAAAGGCTAGTCAACAGAAGACTAGTTAAGAGAAGACTGGTTAACTAAGGACTAGTTACCTGCTGGTTAAGCTGGTCAGTCTCAGCCTCTGACTGGTGTTTTTATAACATGTAAATAATCTGTCTGTAACACAAACATCCTGATCTGATCACATTCATCCAATAAAGTGAGAGAGAATGTGTGTGTGTGTGTGTGTGTGTGTGTGAGAGAGAGAGAGAAAGTGTGTCTGAGAAAGAAAGTGAGAAGTGTGTGTGTGTCAGAGGGAGAAAGTTTGTCTGTGTGTGTGTGTGTGTGTGTGTTGGTTTTGGAGAACACAATTGTATAATGAGTATATAATAAGTGAGTATATAAGGTATACAAATTTTTACTGTATAAATGCATTATACCTACGGAGAGTCCTTATAAACTGCATATATGAGTGTGAGAGCGTGTGTGTGTGAGTGTGTGTGAGTGTGTGTGTCTCAGAGAGAGAGAGTTGATCATGTCTCAGTTTAGAGCTTTGGAAAATGTTTGATTTTTAATTTCTCTGTTTTATATTTTTATAATAAACTGTTGTGAAAATGCAGCCTGACTCTGTCATTACTGCCACAGCACTAGAAAGGCAACAGGACTAGTTAGTGTGTGCACTAGTTAGCGACTCACCATCTGTGTGTGGTTTGGGAAGAAGGTTTGCTCGTTGAGTGGAAACTTCTCCGGGCCGAGAGTCTGATAGAGCTTGATCATGTGGGAAAACTGAAGAGAGAACACACACACACACACACACACACATTAGTAATACAGAGAAAACACACACACACCAAACCCACAGCCATTTATTAATAATAATAACATTAATAAATAATCTATAAATGTTTTTTTATGTTGTGTTTGTGAATGCTGGATTCTGATTGGCTGATGAGTGTAATAATCCAGTGTGCTGTTATTATCAGATAAACACACACACAAACACAAACACACACACACACTCGATGATGAACACATGATCTATTCTACACTCTCATTCATGACTGCAGCTCAATTCACTGTTGCAGCTCCAGAAAGTAGAGCAGATTAAAGTGAGCAGTGTAGCATGTCGGTAATGAATAATATCACACAGGAACTCACGCATTTACAGCAGAATAAAAGACCATATGAGCACCTCTATAATGCAGAAGGTCAGGGTTATGATCAGCCTCCGAGCTTATGAATGTGCTCAGTGTTTCCGCAGGATCATGTGACGGTGTGTGTGTGTGTGTGTGTGTGTGTGTGTGTGAGATAACGCTGTGTGTTTTGTCTTCTTCATGAGTAGTTTAGTCTGCTGTGGCTGAAACACTCAATCCTCCCTCAGCTCTGTTTAAAGGCCAGGAATCCTGCTTTATCCATTGGCTCTAAACGCAAACACACACTCCAGGAGAAATACAGCAACACACACACACACTCACAGTCTACTAGTAAATGGATTTTTCTGACGTTAATTATAGTAAACTCAATTAAATCTACATGTTTAGCTTCAAAATGTACACTGTAGAGTGACATGAGTGTATGAAATAAACACACACACACACACACACACACACACACACACACACATATGTAAAGTGCTGAAAGTGTTGGGTGAACGCCTCAATAATCAAGACAATATCCTGATCGCTCTTCATAATCAATAATATTCTGCTTTTTATTAATGATTCGGTCACTGGAAAATGAATATTTATTATTTTATATTTATTAAACAGTCATTTAAATTTTAAATAATACAAATATTTCACAATAATCTAACAATATATAGATAATACTGAAGATAAACATGATATAAGCTTATTTACAAAAACGTTCATTACAAAGTCTGAGACTTAAGGTGTGTGTGTGTGTGTGTGTGTGTGTGTGTGTGTGTGTGTGTGTGTGTGTGTGTGTGTGTGTGTGTGTGTGTGTGTGTGTGTGTGTGAGACGCACCACCCAGGGTTTGCTGCAGAAGTTGTATATGGAGAAGAGTGTGTTGACGCTGGGGATGGAGCCGTAATGGAGGCCGATCACCAGATTCCGGAAGTCCTCGCCGGGGGTCATACTGTACGCATGCTGGCGGACCAGCACAAAATC